TGTGTGTGTGTGTGTGTGTGTGTGTGTGTGTGTCTGTGTATGACTCTGTGTCTATATAATTTATAATTAATTATAGTTTTTCGCTTTCTTCACAACTATAAATTATTTAGCCTGGCAGATCGGTTTAACGAGGTCTAACATACACTATTCATGTATTCTTCCTGTGTGGGCGAAATAGAGTACCTTTTTTTATGAGGAAGAAATGCCCTTGGAGAGAGTTGGCTCTAAACATTACCATATTTGGGTTTAAATCGGGAACGTTTCCGCTTTCCGTTCCGCATTGATGAGAATGTGTATGTCAAAAGAGGAAACGGTTTGTTTAGGTGAAGGCTACTGGAATGTATGAAAAGAACAGGGCACATACGTGTAGGTTTTTGTCTGCGTGTGTGTGTATTGGAGAGAGAGAGACAGCGCGCGAGGGAGAGAGAGAGAGAGAGAGAGAGAGAGAGAGAGAAATTTTGTGTGTTTGTGTATGATTTTGTGCGTGAGTGTGTACATGCATTGTGCATGTGTTTGCGTGCATGCCTGTGAGCTTTCGACACTTTTAAACAACATAAATATCACAGAAGCTAAAAGAAAAAAATCATAGCACTCTGCCCTTTCCTCTACTTTGTTTAACCATAAACTGATCATTCCAAATAAATAGTTATGGATTTTAGTTGACAAATTGTCGGGTGATATAATAAGATAATATGATAAGAGTAAGTTGGCAACAATGTCAACAAACATGCCATGTTATGTCCTTTAAATATCGTGATATACTACCTCACAGATGTGACCAACACTATATTTCTGCTCCAAATATACTGTTGTAGAGTTGACAAATTGCCCGACGATTATTCGAATGCACAAGAAATATGATAAGGGTTTAGTTTTGTAATTGGCAACAATGTCAACAGACATGTCAGGCTCTGTCCTTTAAATATCCTAATATACAGTCTCTCTGGCGCGACCAATGCTATATTTCTGCTACTGCGGTATTCCTAATATACTGTTGTAGGCTTCAGTTGACAAATTGCCCGGGGTTTAACCCATAAAATACGAAATATGAGAAGTTCAAGTGTTCACATGGCGACAATGTCAGGATCTGTAGAGTAAATATAGCAGGTTGACCCGAGTGGGAACTTCGCTACCGGAAATTTGATCACGGCAGATCGTAAAATCACGAAAGTGACCCCCAGACTTCCTGTGTTAAGGACATGACAAGGTGAACAATGTGATATCATCGGTAGAATGCGTAGATCAAAGATGTTAATTTTTGTCATTGACTAGGAGAACTATATGTCATTTTTGCTGCATTCTGAACGTCAAGTATTACACATGCATGTAGCAAGCCATGGCATTACATGGACCCAATTTGAGACAAAACATCAATCGTATTAGGTGAACATTACAATAATAAAGGTTGTTAAATTTCGTAATTGACTAGGAGAACTATATACCATTTTTGTTGCGTTCCAAACGCCAAGTATTACACATGTATGTAGCAAGCCATGACATTACATGGACCGAATTTGAGACAAAACATCAATCGTTATAAAGGTTGGGTGAACATTACAATCACAAAGGTTGTTAATTTTCGTCATTGACTAGGAGAACTATATAATATGCCATTTTGTTGCATTCTGAACGCCAAGTATTACACATGTATGTAGCAAGCCATGGCATTACATGGACCCAATTTGAGACAAAACATCAGTCGTATTAGGTGAACATTACAATCATAAAGGTTGTTAATTTTCGTCATTGACTAGGAGAACTATATAATATGCCATTTTTGTTGCATTCTGAACGCCAAGTATTACACATGCATGTACATGTAGCAAGCCATGGCATTACATGGAGACAATTTGAGACAAAACATCAGTCGTATTAGGTGAACATTACAATCATAAAGGTTGTTAATTTTCGTCATTGACTAGGAGAACTATATAATATGCCATTTTTGCTGCATTCTGAACGCCAAGTATTACACATGTATGTAGTAAGCCATGGCATTACATGGACCCAATATGAGACAAAACATGGAGTCAGTGAGCCATGATCAAGGTTGAGTGAACATTTCAATTGGGATATCGATTGGTGGATTGACCTTTACATGAACCTAAATACAAGAACTACATTATGATGCACAATGTTTAGTTCTGTGGCAAAAAATGTCGAGGGTGCAAGCATTCATAGCTTGATAGGTTATCATATGATATCCTATTATATGATTTATAAGCAACTATTAATAGATCAGTCAATGCTTATGACAACACACATCTGTACCGTCGTATTTCGGAAAAAAAATCATATATCATTTGCACGTGAACCTGATCTTTTTTTCTGTGTATGACAGTACATATACTCGTAATACACTACATTCTCTGTGGAAGCAGCGGAAATAAATGTATGTTAGTGAGCGTTCCCCGGAAACAAATGTGGTGTGAATTTATCGATCGGTTTTCCCAGAAGACCCAGCTAGATAAATGGGTTCGTTTCTGCCTGAGACCTTGGCCTAGTTACAGAACCATACTCGTGCTGCGATGGAGAGTTCATTTGTTCTACCTCTATAAAGCCCCTGTCACACAGAGCCGAATATGGCCTCCCGACCACTACCGAACTCAAATTTGACCCAAATTTGACTCAAATTTGACTCAAATTAAACTCAAATTTGACTCAATTTTAACTCAAATTTGACTCAAATTCGATTCGTATAGGAAGGCCTAATCATGTAAGATTGTGGTTACAGAATATAAGGGAATCTTCCTACCTCTCCGGCTTTCCAGATTTTGGGTCTGCCGTACTTGAGTAGTCTCCCGTCCCGGATCAGACGTGGAGCCGCTCTCGCTAGTTTCAGGGGCATGGTTATGGTAGCTGCAGAAGGGCGGGAGAAAGGGTGTCAGTAGCCTGGTAACCAGTCTCTACAGGCGGCTTACGATAGCCTCTACCAGGCTTCGGAAGGCGGCTGGAAAGAGTAGAAATCGGCCAAATAGAGATAGCATGCAAAGGGAGTTTGGTCGGCTGGAGAGAACAGTTTGCCACTCCCTTGGCATGCTATCTCATATTTGGCCGATTTCTACTCTTTCCAGCCGCCTCACGAAGCCTGGTAGAGGCTAGGCTTAGGGGTGTTTAAAGACATATTGGCCAAGCAATATGCATTATTAGCCAGGAAGTGACGATTTTGGCACCCGTTTTATTTGGTGTAAAAAAATACCAGTATAAAAAGAGAACCCGCTAAAAATGGCTGAAAATAAGCCGAATCCTTAACAAAAACTGTTTGGAGAGTATGGCTCGTGAGTTTAGGATCTTTCTTTCTCTGACAGCCTATTTTTCCAGCCTGAGTCTTTCTGATTACTGGTATTCTGTCGTGCGTAGGCGTAAATTATTGAAACCGACCCCGTTAAAAGTCCAGGCGAGCGCTAATGAACCTTGGCGGCTTGGCAAGCCTCCAAGCACCGCAGAGAGACCGGAAAGCCTACGGTGGTCTGGCTACCAGGCTAGGCCCGGCGTCAATTCAAGGGCGGGGGACGGAAATGATCTGGTCACGATGTTATAGTAACTCACTATAGCTACTCACCAATGACTCAGAATGGGGATTTATAAGAAATTGGCCAAAATGTGGGACGAAACATTCAGATTTAATATCTGATAGCATGTTAGCGTAAGTATATTTAACCTTGTTAAACCGCTACAATGCTACAATTCGGTAGGAAAAATTGTGGTAGAATGCTATAATTCGGTAGGAAAAAAAGATTACATTCACATTACCTGTACGATTTTTTTTCATTTGGGGGGGGGGGTACGTTTGACTAACAAGGGTTAGGAGCGATATTTCCACGAGAAATATACGACACTCCTACGACTGTTTCGCAAGAATGCCCCTAATTTGTATTCCGGCCCTACCCCCGGCCGTCGCACGAGGAATGTACCCGGGCCCGGTAGCCGGTCTGCCCGCACCGGTTCTTGGTGAACGTGCGGTACGTGTCAGGGCCGGTTCCGCTAAACTCTTCACCCTACCTAGCCTGGTATCCAGTCTTACGTGGTAGGGGCGGGTTTTCCTCGGGGCTACAAGAGCTCTTTCCCGCCCACCTTAGCTAGGTTTCCCGGTGTGTATTTCACGAGAGATTGATTAGCCCTACCCACGAAGCATACCATCTGTTATTAGCGTCACACTCCTACCGGGACGGCCTGTTTCACTGGGCGGGGGAAGCTATTAGAGCCCCCGAAGACACAGCCTGCCTGAACACCCCATCACCCCCAATCACGTAAGACTGGATACCAGGCTACACCCTACCGCGTGGCCTATTCGTACAGCTTAACCATTAAGAGATTGGCGGTGACTACCAACACGTGTTTCATAAACAAAGCCTATGATAATATTAGTCTCCACCATACTATTAATATAAATAAACAACGCGGGTTTAAAAAAATGGTAAAATTTAGCCAAATAGGAAAATAACTGGGCAGAGGAGTTTGGCCACCGTAGAGGGCAAAATTAACCCTCCTGTGGACTGACTATCTTTGCCGATTATCATTTTCCTTCTTTACTGAATTGTACGATCCGTACCCCCATAGGAAGGCCTGGTGGAGGCTACGACAATACCACAGCAAACCACACCCACCCACTCCAATATAACACTTGAAGACAATATTTCCTAATTGAAAACTAAACAGGTACATGCACAAGTACATACACCTTAATTGAGATACGCCCGAGTCAATTTACCTACAACGTTTGTCGCTCGAAGAAGCTTCCAGAATTCGTCCAATACATACAGCGTAGTACGTACATGTACATGTACACGGAATAGCGCTATACATGTACAGGTTCAACGCAAAAACCGATAAATTTGCAAACCGTTTCTAAAATTCTATCTCTCACACACATATATAAAACCTACCTACAACGTTTCTTGCTCGAAGAAGCTTCCAGAATTCACCCAATACATACAGCGTAGTACGTACATGTACATGTACGTACACTGAATAGCGCTATACAGGTTCAAAGCAAAAACCGATATACAACCTTAATCAACCGTTTCTAGAATTCTATCCCCTACTCTCACAACTGTGTACACATATATACAACCTACCTGCCGTGTATTTAGTCAAAGGACACCGTAAGACAGTGAAATATCTGGCGGCCGGTTGCCTCTGCTTTCTCGGCGTGGTTTGTTTGGGTTTCCGGAAGGACCACGTTTTTATGTGAGCCGGTGCGGTGGGACACACATCTACATACACGTCAGCCGCCGCGCCGAAATTAGTAATAGTGCCGTGACGTAGCGGCCATGGGCGGGCTTGGGGAAGTAGTGTGCGGCACGTAGGCACTACGGGCTTACAATGAGTCAGGAATGTGGGAAATGATGATGGTATTTCACAGAAGATCGATTTCAATTGTACGATTTGTGTGCTGAATGCACTTCACGTACATGTACATATGTTTCTTCACCTCCAAGAAAATGTTTTTTGTCTCTTTCTTTCTCTCCCTCTCTCTTTCTCTCCCTCTCTCTCTCTCCCTCACTCTCTACCTCCCTCCCTCTCTCTCTCTCTCTCACTCTCGCCCTCTTTCTCTCTTCCTCCCTCTCTCCCCCCCTCTCTCTCTCTCTACTTTTTCCAGACAGCAGTTGATATTATTGTATTGTACCATATAGTACCTTTGACTCCGTAAAAGCAATTAGCCTTCGGGCATGATTTTGCAAATAAAGATTATCATATATATACATATGCTGTAGCTTATAGTCCATTTCGAACTTGTCTTTGAAACCAAGAATGTACTACCACGTAGAACGTCCTTGTTGAAACGAGACCCCCAATCTTTTAGGGCTCGTTACTAGTAATTGCCTTTACGTCAATGGACGCATATGTTGTACATGTAACTACTTACGCCAAGCCTGTGACACATGTCCATATATGCCTATTTTCCCTTACCTGGACCAGACTGTAACACACGTACGCCACAATTACACAAAAGGCAGCGATGCTTTAGTCCCGTCTTCACTGAGAGAAATCCTAGCGACGCCAACTTAACGATGCCCCAGCCTTGTATCTCTGTGTATGGAAGTGGTGTACGTGCGATCCTAGTACTGTAACAGTTGCAGGGGGCCGCGTCATCTTAAGGCTACATTGTGTAAAATTAGGAACATACAAAAAGCCAATTTTCTGGTCATTTCTTTACAAAGTAACTTTACTCCATTGCAAATAAGTGTCATTCAGGAATTGAAGGGGCCAAAGTATTACACCGTAAAGGCTGGAGAAAACTCTGTTAACCATGTCTGTTTACATTCTGGTATTTTGTGGTGGTGCCACAAAATGAACGCACCTCGTGTGTGCCATTTTAGCCAGAAATTAATGTCAGAAATGTGAGATAATTGCAGAAATATACTGAACAGTGGAAGTAAACAACGATCACATGAACATAATTTCATTAAAATATTTCAAATTTCAGTCCAACAATGTTACATGATTCCCCTTTAAATTTATAGTCCGTCTGAAACACTGTCAATTGGCGTCGAAATGTTAACAATGAAGATGTTACATGTAATTGTAACAGTAGAAGAGACATAAGTGTGTGTTAGGAGTTGAGTTATGTGGTTGGAGCGGTGCCAATGTTGTGCCCGGGAGGCATGTATCGGTAACCGTCTCCCCATTGTCTGTCTAACCGGGACCTCTTGATCCTCTATGGCTTGTCACTCCCATGTGAGCATTGTAGCGAACCGTTTCTCACCGCTTCGTATGCACTAGCCTCCTGTGCAGGCCTCCGGGCGGGTGGTAGTTTGGATACTGCACTTTGTAGAATTTCCAGCGCTAAAATTCTAGCCTCTACCAGACCAGGCTCCGTGGATCTTCTATGGCCCGGGATCTTCTCTGGTATACTATCCCTTTATTTCGGCCAATTTCTACTATTCTTCCAGCGATCCGCGGTGCCTGGTAGAGGCTGATAAAATTCTACAAAACGCAGTATCAAAACTCCCACACGCCCGGAGGCCTGCACAGGAGGCTAACTTTGCACCGAGGGAACGGTATTTACAGGCTAGCCTCTACCAGGCTTCGGGAGGCGGCTGGAAAGAGTAGAAATCGGCCAAATAGAGAGATAACATGCCAGGGGAGTTGGTCTGCTGGAGAGAACAGTTTGCCGCGAAAGAAACTACCTCCCCGCGGCCGGACTCCCCTGGCCAATTTTACTCTCTTTTTTGCCGAATTCTACGATCCGTATTCCCGTAGAAAGGCCTGGTGGAGGCTAGCTGTATTGCGCAATCCCTTCAGGGTACAAGCTATCTATCTAGACACATCAGATGATACCAGTACATGATTGATGATCTGTTTGTCAGTCTATATACGCTCTACAATTACACATCAGTCGGAGGTCCTAGACGCTTAAAGATTACCATTTGGAGTCTTAAGGGTGGGCTGGAATTTTAACAGTTCTGTCATAAAAGCCAGTACGTTGTGAGACTCATAATTTGTCGGGGGACTCGATTTTTTATAAAATGGTAGTTTTTGAAAGGTCATTCACCTTTGTTTGGGGCCATGGTGTCTGACTTTAGCTACATGCTAGCTGGTGGTCACCGTGCATAAAGACAAATATTTACACTACACAAAATCTATTCTTTAAGCACACCTTAAACAATGCGTAAAGATTCCGCTTCTTCTTTAAGACACTTGTTTGATGCCAAGTTGTCTGACTTTAACTCCATGCTAGCTTACAGCCACCGTGCTTAAAGACAGATATTTACACTACACAAAATCTATTCTTTAAGCACACCTTAAACAATGCGTAAAGGTTCTGCGTCTTCTTTTACGTGTGCCTTTACGCAAGTTTTAGTCTTAGATTGTAAAGTGTGCTCAGGAAGTTTAACAGTTCGGTTATACAAGTCACTGTTTTCCGAAAATCGTAATTTCGGTCGAAAGATATCGATCCATAAAGTTATGAATGAAAATGAAAGTTGCTTGTCTTCTTAAGGGCCATTCACCCTTAATTGAGGTTGGGTGCGGTTGTCTGTTTTGACGCCACACGACATGTACTAACCGGGACGGCCTTGGTGCTTAAAGACAATCATCTAGACTGTAAAATGTGAGTCGGAATCTTAGTACATCTTTTAGACCAACCGATACTTTGCGAGACTTGTAATTTCGGCCGAGGGACCCATAAAATTATTACACAATGAAACTTGCTCCCTTTTTAAGGTCGTTCCTTTTTAAAGGGTGGGGCGCAGTAGTATATGCTTTGTAGCCGTACAACATGCATTACTTCACGGCCTTGGTACTTAAAGACAGTTATCTCTAGACGTTAAGTGTGAGTTCGAATCTTAAGGGCATCCAGTGCGATTTCAGGGCAGCAAAACTGGAAATATTCTGAATAAGGCAATTTCTATGATATTGACATATACTGCCCCACATTAGCACATTTTTTTTATTTACTTCAGAATTCACCTCAACATTAGCACATTTGAGTCAGCATTTCATTCTTTGGGCATTCAAAACTTCAGAAACAAGCCCCAAGATGAGTCCTGTATTCTCTGAGTGGTACCATAAAAATCAGCGCAGGGCCCTTCCAGTAACGATTTTCCGTCAGAATGTTGGGAAGTTTTGCTCCATGAGGGTCAATATACATTGGGACAGTGTGGTTTCAACTCCCTATGCAGTTAAATGACTAGAATATTGGCTTTGAAAAATGGAGTTTCCAAGCCCTAAAAACTGCACTGGATGCCTTAAACATTTCTTTTACACCAACTAATGTTTGGGGAAACTCGTAACTTCTGGATCGAGGAACACATAAAATTAAAATTGTTTTTAAGGTCGTTGACCCATGGTGTTCTCTGTTTTTGGCGCCATACTAGCCGAAGGCTACAGTAACACGGCATTAATTGTTGTGGGCTCGACACGTAAGAACATTCCGTACGTAATTGAATATAAATGGTTGGCGGACCTGATATGGGAGCAGAAGGTCGAGGGTTCGAATCCCAACCCACTCGTCGGAGTGCAACTGAACCGCCCGGTGGGGTTCGGTTGTGTAGTCCTCCAAGAGCCGTCTATCCACCTGCCCTGGACGTGCTATACATACAAATATGAACTGTAATAATTGTATGCAACAATTGTACTGTAGCGTGTACATGGAAATGGTTTGAAACTTGTTTTCTTACCTTTCCATTCACAATACTCCTTGCTTCAGGCCTCTACGATTTGTTAAATGACGATAACAAAATTGTTCTGAATACAGAAGAGCTGGTGTACTCTCAGTTTGGGCAAAACGAATTTCATTCCGTGACGCACTAGCACAGTTGTCTACCAGACACAGCCCCTTCGAAGATTGGTGCCTTTATTTCCATCTGCTTGTTTCTGCTCGTGGTTCTCTATTAGTATCACGCCTTGAGCGACGCAAACTAGATTTCTGTGACGCACTCGCGAGCGTAGATTCTAAATTGTTTCTAGGAAAAAGGAGATACCTCACTGTTAGAGACAACGATATGCGATTCATTTTCTGTCTAGAGACTCAATTAGACAAAAGAAAATTCTCTGAAAGATATCAGTCACAAAGAGGCGATTGGCATCCACGTCGCGACTGCATTTTCCATCTTTTGAATGCATGTGTTTTTTTTTCATGTCAAGTATGAAATAACGGTGAATGCAGTAGAGTGGAAAGTCTTTAGATACCTGTTTGTGTAGCCATCACAACCATCATCAGACGACTTATCAGACACGTCTGTAGATACCCGTCTGTGTTGGCATGGCAACCCGTGCCAGACACCTCGTCAGACACGCCTGTAGATACATGTACCTGTCTGTGTTGCCATGGTAACGCATGCCAGTCGACTCGTCAGACACATCTGTAGAGTCCTGAATGTTTTGCCATGGCAACCCATCATCAGACGACTCGTCAGACACGTCTGTAGATACCTGTCTGTGTTGTCATGGCAACCCATGCCAGACACGTCTGTAGAGTCCTGAATGTGTTGCTATAGCAACCCAGGTCAGACGAATCGTCAGACACGTCTGTAGAAATCTGAATGTGTTGCCATGGCAACCAATCATCAAACGACTCGACAGACATGTCCGTAAATATTTGTGTTGCCATGCCAACCTATGCGTAGACGACTCGTCAGACACGTCTGTAGACACCTGTTTCTGTTGCCAAGGCAACCTGTTCCAGACGACTCTTCAGACACATCTGTACAATTTTGATCTCGTCGACCATACTGCAGCGATGAAACACCTGCTTGAGATAGGGGTGAGGCCAGAACTGATCCCATGGCTTGCTAACTTCCACTCGGGACGTACACAGAGGACCAGGTACCACGGAGTCCTGTCCCAATCAGAGCAACTCTCATGTGGTCTGGCGCAGGGTACCAAACTGGGACCGATAGTGTTTATCGCCCATATAAACACCTCAACAGACACCATACAGTCCCCAACCTGGGCCTTCGTCGACGACTTAAACACCATCGAATCGCGACGTCTCTCCCAAACATCGAGACTACAGAAAGACCTCGACGAGCTAGCATCGTGGTCGGACAAGAACAGTATGCAGCTTAACCCCGGGAAATGCAAGGCTATGCACATTTGCTTCAGCCGGACACCCCCACCGCCACCTCCCCTCACCATTCATGGTCACGTCCTGGAGGTAGTGGGCGTCGCTAAGTGCCTCGGAGTGACGTTTCAAGCAGACCTGGGGTGGGGAACCCATGTCATGGACATAACAAAGAAAGGAAATCAAAGACTGCATCTTCTCTGCCGACTGCGACAGTTCAACCTACCTGCGGAGGACTTGCTCACCATATACACATGTTTCATCCGACCCGTACTTGAATACGCCGCGCCAGTCTGGCATCCCGGACTGACGATTACACAGCACAACAAGATAGAGAGGATTCAACGACGGGCGACAAGGATCATCCTGGGACATAACCTCTCGTACGAACAGTCCTGTAAAGTACTGAGGCTACACAGTCTATATGACAGACGTGAAAACCTGTGCCGAGAGTTCGGGAAAAAACTGTCCAAGTCAACTCTCTATCACCACTGGCTCCCTCAGACAAGAGGCGAAGTAACGGGGAGGTCAACAAGGCAAAACAACAAATTCGACTCTATTCTAGCACGCACGAAGCGCTACTCCAACAGCCCTTTGCCCTACATAGTCAAACTCCTAAATGAGTCGACGTAAAGAAGTAATGTATTGAGTCTTTTATCATGTATATATAGAGAGAGATCAAGTTAATGAGTGGAAATTCGAAATCCAATTTTATGTATAAACTCTGTGCTAGAAGGATATTTTAAAGTTGTTTTTAAATTTGTTATTATAATGTTAAGGTGGACACTGATCAATGTACGGAAACATGCAATTCAGCCTCCGGGCTGCAAAATGTTTTTTTACTGAATAAACCAGTCATCATCATCATCATCATGTATTACCATGGCAACCCATGCCAGACGGCCCACCAGACACGTCTGTAGACACCTGTATTGCCATGGCAACCCATGCCAGACAACTCTTCAGACACGTATGTACAATGTGTTGCCATGGCAACTCATCCTCGGACGATCCCACTTGACACCCCTGCAGAAGCCTGCTCGCTTTGTCAAGGTAACCTACCAGACGACATTTCAGACAGTCGTCTGTCTTCTGTGCCGTTATGTTTGTAATGGAACGAAGACAGCCGGAATGGTTATTGGCACGCTGTTAATGGTGTTAGTCCTGTGAACATCACGAGTAGACATCAGTTGAAAGAATCGATACGACATGGCGGATTTTTTCTACTAAACTTCTCGCCTGTGTTCCACAGATACAAGGCTGAACACTCAGTAACTCTTTTAATGATGGCTTGGATTGTAGCAATCGTCGGTTGGGTGTCCCTACAGTACATTAGTCGGGCAGATCAAACAAAAACTGAATGTTATATATTTTGCCTGCTCCTTACCTCTTCCCTCATGACCGCAATGATAAGCGACCTGCAGGCCAATTTGAGCTTGTCATGATTAAACAATGGCTCTAACAAACAAACAAACAAAAATCCAACAAACAATCTTCAGATAGCATACTTGTAGATTCTTACGTTGAAATTACATGCTAATAGACTATGACAAATATCTCTTCTCCGCTAAACAGATCTCATGATACATTACAATTGTGCATCCAAGTCCAGTCTTAATATTAGTCCATTTCAAGTCACTAAAGTTACCAATTATTTGAGTCACTCATCGTCATCACACTCAACCAGCTATTTCCATCATAGGACCCGGACAGCTTTACCAAGAAGCGTTTCGTTTACAATTCAGCAAATCGTAGCTCAATCGTACACAGCAGCAGAGTTTTTACTTCGACAAGGTTTTCAAGATAATCTTATCACCACAGAGCGTCGAAATATTTTCGTGTGTTCGAATGCAAAAGAGGACACCAACATGGCGGCGGGTAAACCACTGATGACGTCATCGATGGCGTCACTGATGACGTGTTTCGGTCAGTGCCCGGCGCCCTTGTTGTCCTACGTAACACTTGGTCCTGTAGACGAACCCGCACAGGGCGGAGCCCACTGTCACCATGGCGACCACCGGCCACACCTAGCAACAACAAGGAAACATGGTTACCATGGCGACCAGGGGCCACACCTATCAACAACACAAATACATAATGTTTACCTTCGCATATGGTCTGCTCTGTTAATTCTTACTCGAACACATTCACATATATGGTGACAGGAGTCTAAATCCCCCCTGCTATAAAATTGCAACAAGATGTAACCCAACATCAGTTACCGTGGTGACAGACGTCTGGTTCGGGTCATTTGTTTGGAGAAGAAGAAATAGAGCAAAAACAATATGTTCTCGTTCGGTAAACATAAGGAACAATGATAAATACACCATTATGTAGAGTTTCACGATTCCATACCTCCGCCCACACGGATATTTGCATAAAGCACAATATTGTTATCTAAATTTATTTGTTTTTTTAGGATTATGTTGACAATGTTTTTTAGGATTATGTTGACAATGTTTACCTCTTATCATGAACTTTATCCTCCACTTTCCCGTTGCTACTACAGCTGGTATGTGTCGCTGATTACGGCAGTGAACTTTGTTACTGTTTACTTTCTACCTAACAAATATTTGCTTTGCCAAGTGCTGACTGGTGGGGTAAAAGTCGTTGGAAGGATATGGGTGGGTTCCGCCTCTAGACACAGAGGATAACAAACAACACACTGCCTCTACTAGCCTCTATAGCATGCCAAAAACTGGGGTATTGGTGGTCTACAGGGTCTTTGGGAGCTTTTATGTGCTATTTTCTGATTGCATATAGACAACATAGCCGGCCTGGTTGAATTACCCCCGTTTGTAGAGCTGGGCTAATCAGAAAACAGCCGAAGACCACCAAACCCCCAGTTCTATAAGCCTGCTACGGAGGCTAGTATCTACGGCCTCAAAAAGGCTACGGGACTACTGTACATTTTACGTTTACCTTTACCAAGTACTGGATACAAAAACACACATATCAGGGTAAACGTACGTTGACATGACAAAAATTATGCCATATGATCTTTGCTATGAAATATAGATATCTCACCTTAGTGTTGTGCGGTTCTAGTCATGCGTATGAGTAGGAATATCAGTATTAGTAGACAATAGGCCATAGAATACCATTTCATAGTGATGCTAATTCATAAATCATGATATGTATAGCCAACTTCTGTATAATGCACTTGGTATAGTCTATTTAATATCTCAGAGAGGGAGAGAAAGAAGGAGAGACGCTGAAAGAGATAGAATGAGAGAGGGTAAAGAGAATGAGAATATCATTGTTGTACTTAGACCATTTCGCAGACTTGTAGGGCGCGGCGTTATTATTTTTTTTCGGTGAGCGACGCGAGTTATGCCGCAGAGGGACGATTTTGCCGCCGAGGGAGTTTTGCCGGGGAGAGACGGCTTCGCGGACGCCCTAAAAGTCTGCAAAGGAGGCTATCTACAGGTTGCCAGACTGGAGTCTCACCTCTCCCGGTCTCCAGAGTTTGCTCTGCTTGACGTACGTGTTCAGTTTGCCGTCCCGGACCACCAGCGCTAGAGCCCGCACAGTCAGCCTCATGGTAGCTGGGGTGGAACAGAAACCAAAAATGTCAGCAATATTAATAGCACAGCAATCAGTGCAGTTTTTAGGGCTTGGAAACCCGATTTTTTAAAGTCAATATTCTATACTAGTCATTTATCTACATACTGAGTTCAAAACACACTATCCCAGTGTATATTGACCCTCAGGGAGCAAAAGTTACCGACATTCTGACGGAAAATGGTTACTGGGAGGGCCCTGGGCTGATTTTTAGGGTACCTCCCATAAAATAAAGGACTCATCTTGGGGCTTGTTTCTGCAGTTTTAAATGTCCAAAGTATGAAATACTGATTGAAATGTGCTAATATGAAGCAGTATGTGTCAATATCGCAAAGATTGCCTTATGCAGAATATTTCCAGTTTTGCTGCCCTGAAATCGCACTGGATGCCTTTAAAGGCGCCGGCATTTTGTTCTTTGTACTGAATAGATAGAGGAAAACGGTAGCCTGGATCTAATATCGGCCTTGTTTTTCCAATTCGGATATTGGCTATCAGGGGGCAAAAAAAAGCTAACAAGGCTGGTATCTAGGCTAAAACAATGGGTAAAACAAGTTAAAAATATCGTCGTCGGAGATAGTTACTCAGGCATGGTTGACGACTTAAACCTAAGCTAGCTATAGCTCTACGTGTCCCCATTTATAACAATTTCTTTCACAATGTACACAAGTGAAAGTACTAAACAACCCAACCGTTTGCTCCCCTCGGTTTTCGAGCGCTCCAGATCAGTTCTTAGCACGTTTTGCAGCAAGCGACGCATACTAAAACCGTTACGGTTACTACATGTATATGTTTTCTACATGGTAGACTACACAATACCTGTAGAGTTGGAAAGCACGGCAGTACAGAAACTCCTGTTTGTTTCCGCCCCTCTACCCTGTCTACTGGTGGTTTGACTGATCGTGACGCGCTTTGATGTGTTTGGTTAAAGTTTAACTTTCTGGACTGAGCCACCTTTCACAAGTTTGTAGGGGTCATAAATTTAAACATGTGAAAGCAAAGGTAAGGCGTACGACCACAAGGTGCGTTACAGCTTTTATTTATAGAAAAGTGCACTGGGTCAATTCCGCTCTTCTAGATAAGTGTCTTTGGTTCTTAAAAACAAATCCTCGTATGATTTTAGGTCACGTACATGTGTCTTTATGAGTCGATTGCATTCTTTGTTTTTTAGCTCAATGTTTTAAACATCTAAATTTCTTTTAAGTTTACGAAAACTTTCTTTTATGAAAACATATTGTTTTTACTCTGTCTCTTCTTCCTCTTCTTCTTCTCCAAATTATACGGTCAATGACCTGAACCAAACGTCTGTCAAAATGGTAACTGGTGTTGGGTTACATCATGTTGCAATTTTATAGCAGGAGGGATTTATACTCCTGTCACCATATATATGAATGTTTCTAACCTGATATTAGGACTCCAAAAGCGTCATCCTCAGAATCATGTCAGTGTTGAAAGTTTCATCAGTTTCGGGGATGGGGAGAGATTTAGGCCTGTCTTTGTTGCCATGGTAACTCATCTGTGTTGCCATGCCAACCCCTCATCCCCTGACGATCCCAAGCCCAGTCCTTCATCAGCTACATACACGTGGAATCCCCATGCCTGGTGGTAATGACTTGACGATTACTTTGATCTATATCGGGATGTTCACGAGTACATGAATACGTATTACCAAGATTGACACGTGAAGATGTACTCTATGACTCTTCACTGAAGTTAATAAGACAGCAAATTGCCTGATTTAACCCTTGAATCCCCCATTGACGTGTGTGCAACGTACATTAAAAGGTTTGGTTTTAACAGAGGAAGCTAATATATGGATTTGAAGTACTCTCCTCAACTCTGCTACGTGTCTAGTTAGTTTGATGTGAACTTCAAAGACGCACAGTCGTTTTCTCTTAGTTTTGAAACGTTTGTCGTTAACGCACTTTGACAGGGTAATTTGATACGTTGAGACTGCTTGTCGGTACCTCTTATGGGTTCTTCGCATTTTCAAGTCACCCTAAAGGTATAAAGAGATGTTCGCAAGTGAACACATGTAGCTATTAGGCCACACCAATTTAATTAGTTGGTTCCCGGATTCGCCCGCTTCATTTTTTTTCTGATTTGCAAAAAAATTCATGCTCTGAATCAACTCCCAAATGTTCCTATTTTGGCCCCAACAGTTGAAGAAAGTCCCTCCTCTTCAGACTTGTTACTGTTTCCATCTATCAAATGCGCGCAGTGTTTTGATTAAAAGTTTGAAATTCATTATTTGAATTACAGACCAGCCTGGTATGTTGACTTCATGGCTCCTACTGTTAGCATTTGGAGCTATCATAGGATGCCTTGGCCTGTTCTTTTTTTTTGCCCTGTCGTCTCGTATTTTTTCTAGAAAAATCCGAGAACCAACAAATCAAATTGGTGTGGCCTTAGCAAGATTGAAAATGCGGTGTATGCCTCTTCCCTGACGGTAATATGTCACGAAATTGTCTGATTATGCCTCTCGAATCCCACCGACACACCTTGACTTGCTACGCACGTTTAAAGACTAAGTTTCTAAAGAGAAGACCGCTGTGAAAGACTTAACAAAATGCCTTAGATCTTCTGCAAACCTTGAGGGCGTGATCAGGTCTACGCGTGTACCGTTCAGTCATACTGACGCATGCAGAGAGCAAAGAGAGCAATTTTCTTCAGTAATTAGGTTTCTGATGTTGCCCCTTTGGCGCCTTGACGTCTGGACTGCGTACATTCACAGAATTCTTAGATTCATTGCAACTACGTATAACACAGCACGAAAACAGACATTTAAGCAAACTTTCAGCAATATGTAAAGAACTATAAAGGTGAAAAAATATTTCCGTAGACTTTACGACTTCGTAAAGGTCGCTGAAAGGCAAATTCCGCCTTTCCGTCACCTTTATGTGTGCTTCAATATGACGTAAACATATTTGATATCTTTACGCTTCCTTTACAAGTCCGTAAATATAGGAACTATAAAACTAGAATGCTAACGTTAAGCCCCACGTACATTGTAGCCAAATGTTTAAAAATGCTTAAAACATTCGGGAGTGGACGGGGTATTGAGCTTTGGTTGGCTGGTATAGTTTAGAGAGCGTGGTTGGCAGTCAAATTTGACTCAAATTTAACCTTGTTGGTTTGGCGGTCGGGGGAAGGTTCTGAATGTGTGTCAGAGTCTTGACTTTGCCGGGCGATGTCCTTGGTGCTGAAATGGGGTTCCCAAGGCATTTGACAAGCTGTGAAGACAAAATAACCCCAAGAGACACCTTAGGTGCATCTTGCATGATCATAAGTTCTTCACAGATAGCTGGTACTGTGCGAGAATGTTAAAAATGCCCTTGATCGATGCGTAGGAGGTTACTGTAATCTTGTTCCCTAGAAAATTGACCGCGAATCTTTGATCCCCTGACCCTGACATAGAAACGAACCTCTAGAGCGTTGAAGCGTGATCATCACATGATCATCACGTGAACATCACATGATGGGTTCCTCCGTGCCTTGACTGAGAGAAGCGGTAATGAAGCTGTAGGAGACAGCGGGAGATAGGGATCTTTAACATTCTTCGTCTTATCTTCGACTTCTGTCTGGCAGTTTCATAAAGAAGCTACTGGAGCGAAGAAAATGTTATTCGAACGGGAGTACATAACTGTCTGAACAAGTGCTAGTTACTAGTGCAATGTCCTGTGGCATTTGCATGGGTATTGGTTATATACATGTAGGCTCACATGACTCGGGTTCCTTTACGTGTGTTCTGTACATGCTTTCTAAGAGTTGGTGTACTTTTGGCTAGAAACTTTATGTTAATAATGATATAATATATGATAGTTTCTTGAGTTCCTAAAACATTGTATTCCACAAATTAGCTAGGGGGTGATTGCGTTGAGTTACTAACATAAGCATGGTTTGCCATTAAAACATTAAAAGCTTACAAATAAGAGCACAAATTTGTTAAAGAGATCAATATGTCAGACCTATCTAATTGGCATGCACGCAGGTAGATATACATCATCGTTGTACACGTAATACATTTTGATTATACTATTTCATAGTCGGTAAGACGCTAAAAGGAAGATGTATCTTTCAATTTTCACCTAATTCAAATCTAAAGAATCTACAAGAACATAGATACCATTGTTCACTGCCCATTTACCTCTCTGCATTCAAACTAAAACTCAGACCTAAGCACATCATAGCCTCCGTAGCAGGCTTATAGAACTGGCGGTTTGGTGGTCTTCGGCTGTTTTCTGATTGGCCCAGGTCTAAAAACGGGGGTAATTCAACCAGCTCGCTATGCTGTCTATATGCAATCAGAAAATAGCACATAAAAGCTCCCAAAGACCCTGAAGACCCCCCCCCCCCAAACCCGCAGTTTGTGGCATGATATGGAGGCTAAGCACAACAGACGTGGACTGTAAGGTAGACTAGTTTTATGGTTGTCCCATTCTGTTTCTCTTCGTTTTATGTGTGCGTTCATTAAGTATACAGCTTGCAATTAGCCTCGGGACTGATCAATTCATAAAGTTGCAATAAAAATCTAAGTTCAATTATAGAATTGGCTTGGCTTTGGATCGTATGGAACGGCTCCTAGAATAATTTGAAGGGAAACGAACGATCTATATACTGGAGTTAGAGCATTGAATGAATACAGGGCTATATATAGCTGCTTGGTGTGCATTTCTTTATGTTTACCGAAGGGAAACATATTGTTTTGCTCAGTTTCTTTCTCTTCTTCTTTTCCAAACCGAAAAGGTCAATGACCTGAACCAGACTGTCTGTTGCCATGGTTAACTAGTGCTGGGTTGTATCATGTTGCAATTCTATAGCAGGAGGGATTTAGACTCCTGTCTGATCATATATATCAAATGTGTTTGAGTAAGAATTAACAGACCATAGCAGACCATATGCGAAGGTAAACATTATGCTTTGCAGATGTTACCTTTCTAGTTCTACGAATAAGTTCAATTTTCTTTGCAGACTTTTGCAGCTCTTTCTTTAGATTGCAACTCCACAACTCCAAAGTTAAAGATATCACAAAAGCAACCATCCATTTCCAGACTGGCGCCTCCATGTACATTATCTATATCCATGTGCCACATACAGTGTTTCCCGTAATCTACTAGTATATTAGCTCTGCCCACTTTGCTGCACTGTATGAAGTTGCCATTTGCTTATCGTGTACTGATATAATATGCCGCAAGCAATTGCAAGTAACAAGAATGATTGTCAAGGGAAGGTAGAATGTACTGGGTGGCTCAGAACCCACAAATGAAACACCCATTTTATTTATACTCAGTGAGTTAGAAGTTATCAAAAGTGCCTACTTCTTTATATATAGATATAACATCGTGGCTTTGCACCGCGATACTGAATTAACTGCACGAAATTCTATCTTTAAGCAGACGTTAAAGGCATCCAGTTCAGTTTTTAGGGCTTGGAAACCAGATTTTTCAAAGTCAATATTTTAGTCACTTATCTACATACAAATTGAAACAACACTATCTCCGAGCATATCGACATTCATGGAGCAAATTGTGCCCAAAATGGTTACTGGAAGGACCTGGATTGGTTTTTGGGTTACCACCCAAAAATAAAAGACTTATCTTGGAGCTTGTTTCTGCAGTTTTAAATGCCTTAAGGATGAAACACTGATTCAAATGTGCTAGTGTGGGGCAGTATGTGTCAATGTCATACAGATTGCCTTATTCCGAATATTTCCAGTTTTGCTGCCCTGAAATTGCACTGTTACTTTTCGTAGCGTCGCCCCAATGTTTACACGGGTATGTTTACGTGCGTACTCCCTGGTATAAAATGACCCATAACGCGTCCTATACACCCTCTTGACCTTGCAAAACGACCTTCAGATGTTTACACTGTAACATTACGGCTTTTCAAAGACAAATAGTGA